CCCCTTGTGATCTATATTCGTACCTTCAAACTTTCATATCAAGTTGAAAATTATTATCTTTTTCGTTACAATGCGGAATTAAATAAATAACAATTTTATCCATGTAAAATAATGTATATAAATGCGATTGTACAGCCACTTTTGAGAATGAAATCTCCGAAAAGACAGTTGTTTTTGCTGAACTTCTTGTTCTTTTCCCTCTAATGTTCCGATGGGTATTTTCAACGATTTGAAACAAAAGTCTAAGAAAATAATATAAGATAACCAGGACTCTGTCCTTGAAGAGATCAACGCAGATGATGAAACCAATAAAAGATGTTCAAGGGAACCTAATTACTGAAAGAGGAGAGATAAATGAAACAGTCGGCTGATCACTTCAAAGGACTCTTGAATGGACCATCACCTGAAACTTGTCCAGAAATACCACCAACAGCAGACACAAAACTGCCTGCCACTTGACACCAATTCTCCAACAGTGGCAAACAAAACATTAGGTCGCTTCATCCTGGAGTGAATAAAGGATGCACTGGATACAGAACTCCACTCGCCAGAACAAACTGGATTCAGGAAAGGCAAATCATATGCTGATCGAATTGCAGCTCTACGCATCATCATCATTATCGAAAAGAGCATAAAATACCGTTCAAAGCTCTATCTCAAATTCCTCGACTTTGGAAAGGCCTTTGACAGCATTAACCGCGAAGTAATTTGGAAATTAATTCGACACAGTGGCGTGCAGTACCCCAAAACTTTATCAAACTCGTTCAGTATCCATATGACAAAGCCACGTGTCAGGTGATCCAAGACGGAAAACTCACAGAAGCCTTTTGAGTGAATGTAGGAATAAGACAAGGATGCCTGTTGTCACCGATGATATTCCTAATTGAGGTGAACTGGTTTATGCGGACCACCGTGAGTGGACAGACAGGAAAACTGCGTAGGTTGGGCCTATAAGAAGAATTTAAAAGATCTAAACTTCGCGAATGATTTATGTCTAATTTCACGTAAACTCGAAGACTTACAGGCGAGAACCAACAAGCTTGGAAGATGAAGGGTACAGACAGAACTTCAAGTGGAGAAAGGTAAATTGGTCGTCGTCAGAGGACGCTCTCCACACGGATACGAGAACATATTCCAGCATGATTTTATAAGGTAGAAAGAAAGTGTGTGCGGAGCTCTATTGTGGAACACCTGATCGACTTCTCCCACTCTGTCAACCCTGACCATGATTTCAAGATAATATATAGAATCCATGCTAACTTCCCGAGTTTTCTTCGTTACAGACTTCTAAAGACAGCTGAGGCCTTGGCAATTGAAGACTTTAAGCCAGACACACCGTTGTGTACAACAGAAGTATGTACAATCCCTACTTCTGCCTTGGCCGTAGAGGGATAGACATTCATTTATTTTATTTATTTAGTTATTCTATGTACTTTTCCCTTATTACTACTATTATTATTATCATCATCATTAGTATTACTATTCTCACTCTGTATTGTTTCCACTTGACCCACTTGACATTTTTAACCCAAAATTATTAATTTTTATTTTTACAATATGGAATTCTATCTTATCAAATTTCACACCATGTAATGTAACATTTTTATATTCGTCTACTAATCTTATAATTATGTACCCCTTTCCAAAATCTATACACCTTATGTATTATTCTATATATGACACTGATTGTTTTGCCACTTGACATAAAACTATGATTATAATCACAAATATTTTAATTGCATTTCATACTACTACTATTATTATTTCATGCATTTACACCTTTGACCTAATATCCTCATCGGATACAATTTCTAAAACAACCATATTTACGATTTTACAGCTTGATAATAAATTCGTTGTTGAAAAGAGTCTCTTCGCTGAATATTGTGTTCTTAATGCTAAAATGAGAATTATTAAATTGTTGAATATAGAGAAAGCAGAGGTGATAAAAATAACCATCTGCCAATAGCAACAAGCACCAATCATTATCAACGGAATAAAAGTGAAAGAGGTTACTTCCTTCACCTACCTAAGCAGCTTCGTTTCAACTTCAGGGCGTTAGGCGTAGAGTGTTGGGCAAAGAGGGAAAATCAATCGAAGAGGCTATGAAGTTATATAGATTGAGATGGCTAGGTCACGTGCTGCGCATGCCTAACCATCGCCTCCCCCGACGGACGGGCATTACTAGCTGATATAGGTGCAGGTTGGAAAAGAGCAAGTGGTGGCCAAACAAAAACATGGCCTCATCAATCCATGAAAGCCCTGACAGTTAAACTGAGTCAGGTAGGGAGGGAGATGCAGACTTCCGGGTTGGGACTCTAAGAATCAGTGGCTGGAGACAATAGGTGACATGGCTCAAAATCCTCGTTGTCAATGGCTTACGCAGATGTATTCAGTCTCTGTAATATTCAGTCTCATATTCCTTTCTACAATTACTCATTCTGTTTCACTCTTATACCTGTCAAAACTCTATTGATTCTCTTCTCTCATTTTCCTGTCTACCTTTGTGTGCTCTTTAGAACGTGGCAACTCGAACTGGTGCACTTCGGTGCCAAGTTCTATGTTGAATCCAGCAGCAGCAGCAACATAGATGAGCATGTTGAAACCTGAATCGGAAAGGTGAAACAGACCTTCAACACTGTGCATTAGTTGAGAAAATCTGTTGTACTCAGCATGAAGAACAAAATTCGGATTCTGTTCAACACGAATGTTAAGTCAGTCAGTTCTTGTGTATGAGTTAGAAACTTGCACTGTGAGTCATGGGAAGCATTCCTAACTGGCTGCAGACTTACATCAACAGCTGCTTTAGTTTGCTCGATACTGAAGATAAGATGGCCAGTCAGAAAGAATTAGCAACAAGAAACTCTGAGAACAAACTAACCAAGAACCTGATGCTCAACAAATGTGCAGAAGAAAATGAGGATCGATCAGAAATAAGCTGGAAACACCATCTGGTGATGTCGTGTGCCAGGAAATTGAGTGGATCCCGAATGGGAAACGACTAGTTGACATGAGGTCCAAGGGTGACACGGGGGAGATCGTGTAGTAAGGAGGACATGACAGATTATGAGCAATCGTGGACCCAGTTGGAGAGGATTTCGGAGATTAGCACAAAATGGAAATGTCCTAGTGAAGCTTTAAATTCCAGTCAGAACCCAAGGAGACATCATCGCCAGATGAAATTGTACTAGCTTCAATGTAGATTTCGGTGGGAACCAACGGCATTTGGGGGATCATTAGAAATCAGAGACGCCTCAGTAGAATGCGCGCATGGATCTTCACTTTACGAGGCCACTTTGGTTGACCATTCAGCTAGTCAGTCACTCGTGTGGAGCCATCTGATAAAAGCAGCTGTACACACTTAAATTTCAGACCGGCTAATTTTAAATACTCTATCATATTGCAAAATAGCTGGTGGTCTTCTGAGCTTACGGAGCTATCTGTATTTCTTATGCATCAAAATGTATCGTGACTACTACTTTTCATATTGTTTAAATGAACTAATTAGCACAATGAATCGCAATTCATGCCGGCGGACTACTTCAAATAAGTTTTTTCCTACGGTTAGTAATTTTTCAAAGGAAATGGAAGAAGAAAATTGTGAAGCAGTACAGCAGCAAGCTTCAGATGTAAAAATGACATATAATTGATAATTAATAAGGGATATCTTTGCTGAACTTCTTGTTCTTCTCAATCTAATGTTCCAATGGGTATTTTCCACAATTTATTGCTCAGTAAACATAACTGTATTACACTGAGACTTTATCGACATAAATTTCACCCAAAATGGAACTGTACTCTGCTGGAACTCCAAACTAAAATTAACACCTATTTTTATCACATGTGAGTGGAAGGTATCCTTTGTAATACTATTCTACAATTTATATGCTTTTTTTCATAAATATATGTTAAGATAAAACAACAAGAAGACGTAATTTGTCTGAATCGTGTAATGTGCATTTACGCACAACACATTCCGAACAGTCTGATCACACACTGACTTGTCATAGGAATATATATGAAATCAATAAAGAGTTAAGAGGTGAGAAAATAGACTTAGGCCAGCTAGGGCTTCCACAAACTTTAGGAGACGCCCCAACACACGTTTTATGGATGGATAGGTTTAAAAGATCTGTTAACGTCAATTTTATGTCCTGTCTCTATAATATGTTTCGCAATAGAAGAGCTAGGTCTCCTGTTCTCACCGTTAATAGGTTCTGAAGATTCCATTTGTTTCTGGAGCCATTTAGGAATATGCTTTGAAGCCAGCCCTTACTTACTGGGAGAGATCGATGAGTCCTCCCTATGTATGTGTGTCCACGCGTACATTCAAATTGGTAAATACAGTGGGATGTAACATCATTTTTCTCGTGTTCAAAGGGCTTAGATACATATATTGGCTTCACATTCTAAATTATAATGATATTAGCTGTATAAAAAGGCTTTTTTAACAGCAGTTTTTTTTATTCCTTTCGTTCCCAATGGAACATAGGGTGGCTTCAAACTAGAGAGCTTTGAAGTTTCGGTAGCAGTGATTGTTTTTATTTTCACGGGTGAGGTCACTAGCCCCACACCCACGCTTCCCTCTCTACTAGCCTTACTACCAGCGTAGTGAGGTTTAAGAGCACGTTGGCCGACTGTCGAAACTGGGACCACTTGAGTGGTTGACAAGCGTTTTACCGCTGAACTACAGATGCACGAGTAACTCTTTTTTTCCTTCACGTTCCCCAGTGGCTAGTTGGCTTGAAGTTTCTGTAGCAGTGTTTATTTTGCAGGATGGGGTTGCTAGCCTCATGTCCAACCTTTCCTTTTTACCAGAATTATTTCTGGCTCAGCGAGGTATAGGAGTGCGTCGGCCGGGGATCGAACCCCGGACTATGTGCATGGTCGGCGAGCGTCCTAACCGCTATTCCACCGATGCACGAGTAACTCTAACGACAGTCAAACCCAATAAAATAAACAAATATAAATATCACACAAAAGTGTTGAAATCAACTCACATGGTTTACATGTATACCAACTATCGTCCATTTCATTCACTGATACATATCCAGGTAGACAGAAACATTCATCTTGTAGAAAAGAACAAAAACTATCTCGTCTATACTGTCGACAGTATACATCTCCACCATTTAATGTACATGAGCCTAAATTTAACGAACGAAAATCTGTTGGATAGATATTTTCTCCTTGTAACGATTTACATATGACAAGTAAAATGAAAGTTTTATACATATTGTACACATTGAATTGTTTCCGGATAGAGCGCGTCATTTAATTGCATCTTCTATGGTATATGTATGTATAATAACATTTCGTTGGATGTGTAATTCACCCGGTTATTATGATAGATATACAATTTTAGCATGTTTGCTAATATTACATAATGTCAGTTAATGACAGGAGATTACAGTAGTAACAGACAGTGAGCAAGAATTACACTTGTATCCACCGAAAGTTAAAGTTTAAACAAAATAAATAAATAAGTGTTTGAATACAGCGGTAAAAGTTACGCAATAAAAACAAGAGGTGAATACGATGACGAGTAACTAATACAAATTGAATGACACTATGGCAAGTTCAACTCGAACAACTTCTTGATTGGTGGTTTTCAACCAATCAGATAAAATCACTCTAAGTATTACTGACCAATCAAATAAAAGTATTCTTAATGTTATTAACCAATCACAAACGTAGGTATGGCATATTATGACACTAATAGTAATAACTTTATTCTGAATAATGTTTATATAATATACAGAATTTCCAGAGGAGTTTTTGTTGCATGATATTTTCTCTTTGTCCAGGATCTTCAAATCAAAGACTGACTTTCAAGTATTCGTTTGTAGGGATTTGATTGTGGACTGAAATCAGTTAGAGAATCATTGAAAACCACGAGGGAGTACTGGACAGCCAACTGTTTCATCCTAGTTTGGGACTCTCCGGCAGTAGGGACCTACTGTGGTTCGGACTCAGGACCTTCCAATTACAAGCAAGCAAGTTCGTAGACCATTAAGCGGCCAAGTTAAACTTTAGACACCAATAACTACCAATCAGCGAACGACGTCGAATTATCCAATGAGATTCACGAACGTAGTTCAATGTTGTATAGCGCTTGATTCATTTACAATGCGTGCCCTTACAAGGTTACGTTTGCAATTCGAGGAGGATAGTGTCTTTCAGTATTGCCTGGACTTAGGCTTGCTTCGAAAGGAGAGAAGTTGTTCCTGTGGTGGTGTAATGACTCTAAAAAGCTATGCGAGGTCAACTGATGGATTTGTCCGTCGTTGAGGAGTATGTTGGAAGCGAGTTAGTATTAGAGAGGGTAAGCTGCTAATTTTAATATTTCGTAGGAACTTTTTTTGCTAGGTCGCGTCTCTCCCTAACCCAGATTTTGTATATCTGCAACTATTGGGTATTGAAGCAGCCAATGAGAGCGGCAGGTGCGGAGACGGATAATAGCCTCGTCTCAACAGTCCAATCGTATCAGCACTGTAGAGACATCGCCTCATGGAAAATGGAGAGAATTACTTCGTTGTTAGGCGGGGACGACGTAGTAGTGCATGTGGATGAGACAGTGTTGGTGAAGAAGAAATATAACCGTGGTCGTCAGAGAGCAAACAACATTTGGGTAATAGGTTTATACGACACGTCCCTCCGAAAAGGATTTGTTGAAAGAATAGCAGACAGGAAGGCGAGTACTCTGATACCTATTATAACGCGACTTGTGAAAAGGGGATCAATTGTACATACCGACGAGTGGAAAGGTTATGATTCATTGTCATCCCTGGGATACATTCATCACAGAGTGAACCACTCAAATGATTTCGTGGATCCAGTTACAGGGACTCATACGAATTCCATTGAAGGATTCTGGGGTCGATTGAAAAATAGGATCCGGGCTATAAATGGATCGCAAAAGGATCTGATTTATAGTCATTTAGACGAATATATGTATAGAATGTGATGCGACGTCTCAATTGACAGTCCCATGCTGAATTGGGAGATGTTCCTGTCCCATGTTCGGGAAAGATACCCATTGTAACCGTTTTATCCTTTTTTATGCATTTTTTGATAAATATACGCTTCCACTTATCATAAACGCCTCTTTCATGTGATTGGTCCGTTCAAGGTCGTTTGCTGATTGGTTGTTATTGGTGTCGAAAGTTTAACTTTGCCGTCTTCGGCTAGTATTTGTCCTCACACCCGACCTGCTGCATCTTACTGGCCACGACTTCCCACTAGAACTCCAGGTTACTACCTACCTGAATACTGCCAGTCGTTAGTAAGCATCTCATTGATTTTCAAGTATCGTATGACACAGTTCTATCTCACCTGAAGTGCAAACCAGTCCATTATGATATCTCTTCTTTCTCTGCTTCGACATTATGTTGAGTGTCAATTATAAGAAGTTCTGGAGTACATTCTATAAACCAAGGAAACCACTCAGGAACGGTCATCTCATGTATTGGGATAATCTGCCATCCAGGATAATGCTTTTTCATGCGTTTAGTAAAAACTTGTGAATGAGAAGGCTGAAAATGTTTTAAATACTCGCCAGAGTGAACAGTACTCTTTGAGGTCATATCTTACTAGAATTAAACAAAATGAATAAGAGAAACTATATGCAATATATATTGATGGAGTCTGTTTTCGGTAGCGCAAGTTTTAAGTAGGCCGCGCTTAGCTAAATCAGCCAATCATATCACTTTTCAAATGCTGGTCTTCAGGGATTTCATTGAAATCATTTTCGGTCACGAACTGTCAGTGAACGCCTAGATTACACTTTGAGTAGCCCAACGGCTGATACACTGACGCGCATTGCGTTCCTTAGTTGATTCTAATCAATTTTGTCCAAAGTGCCGCAATTCTGGTGTTGTGTTCTCTTAGCTGGATGATTTAGCTGTCCTACTGGACAGCATATTTAGCGCAATATATTCATGGTGACTTTTTAGAAGGACAATCAGCGATTCATAGTGAAACTAACCAGCTCATAAAGCACCATAACACCAAAAACATTCAACTGAGTTATAAATCTTCTACGCATTGATGAAGTTTAGAAATTGTTTTGTCAATTTTCATTTTAAGAATTTATTATATACATCCTTGAGAAATTAGAGTTCACTTTTATTCGGGTTTTTTTCTTAGTTGATTCGCATTTACTGCTGATTGGTTACGTTGGATTGACATGCTCAGTGCTAATTTCTATGAAGAAAGCTTCAGTAGGACAGATAAATCGGCTACATCAACCCTCAGATATCATAATAAAATCCATTGTACCTTATGTGAAGAATATTTGTGAGATAACGGTTAGAATATTGGGGGGGGGCATCCGGAACAGATATAGCACACAGACCAAAAACAATAGCTTCTTTCAAACCAAGAGACCCAGACAACAACAAAAGAAGACAGGACCAACGTCATCTACAAAATGTACTGTGAAAATCCCTATACTGGTCAGTGTAGACGTCCCCTTCAACTCCTAGTCCAAAGATGTACACTAACTGTCGAAGGAGACGACATATTTTCCGAAATATCAATGGATTTATACAAACGAAGGATACCATTCTGGGTGGGAAAATGTTGCAATTTTAAATAGTGGAAACATCAAACAAACGCTTGGTACTCACACGGATGAGCTATCAATAGAGGGATTATTACACACGAAATTTATCAGCGCTTATAAAGCAGAATCTACATGACAAAAAAATTATCAAATTCTAAGTCAATTATTATTATTGTTCCCTTGGGTTCCAAGTGGAACATAGGGCTTCAACTGCACGTCTCCACTTGCTTCTGTCTTCTGTTGTACTTTTCACTTGCATCTATGTTAGTCCATACTGCTTCAACTCCTCTTCACACAATCTCCTCCATGTCACCCTTGCACCAACGAAGCACTCGCCGCTTCCACTTCGGGTTCCACTCGAGCACTGGCCTGACGCGCGATGTCACACAGCGAATGGCCTCCTCAGCTAGTGTCCAATCCATCTCCACTTTCCTCTGCATATTTGTTGGGCGATTGGTTCTCGTTTTGTTTGTTTGCATAGTTTCTTGTTGGTGATTCTTTTCAGCCATCTGATCTTCAGTAGTATAGAGCGAAGACAGTTGTTGATAAAGGTCTGCAACAGGCTGTTGGAAATATTCTTCGTGACCCGCCAAGTTTCTGATCCATCCGTATAGAAGAACTGACTGACTTGACGTTTGTATGGGAAATCCAAATTTTGTTGTTGATGCAGGCTGAGTGACGAAGATTTCCAGATTGGTTTCAGGTTGATGAATGTGTTTCTCGCCTTCCCGATTCTCGATTTGACATCCTCGTTCGTTCCTCCTGTAATAATAATAAGACATTATTTATTATTATTTCCATAATATCTCCACACCAAAGACACACTCATTGCTTCACATTCGGAATCTACTCAAGCGATGGCCTGCATTGTGCGAGATTTCATTCGATAGTCTCCTCAAAGTATGCCTATTCTACCCATCTACACTTTATCTCACATATTTGTTGAGCAGTCGTCTCCTGGTTGGTTTATTGCCAACCAGAGTTTCCTGCTGCTAATTCATTCTGGCTGGCTGATCGGCCGGCCATTTGATCTTCAGTATGGAGCCAGGCAGGAATCCACCAAAGGGAGCAGCTGTTGAGAAAAGTTTGCTGTGGATTGTTGGAAATGATTTACGTGACTCACGTGCAGTGCAAGTTTCTGACCCGTAGAGAAACAACGACTGACTCCACATTTGTGTTGATCAGAATCCGAACGAATCTTGTTGTCTATGCTTGCTTGCTTGCTGGTCGGCTGGCTGAGTGAGTGAGTCAGTGCAGAAGATGTCCAAACTGTTTTCAGGTTGGTTGATGAAGGTTTATCTTGCCTTTCCGATCCCCATTGACTGGATGGTTGACTTTGACATCTTCATCCGTTCCGTTGGCCTGTGATTGTGACCTTACTTCCTAGCCAGATAAGTGAAGTCAAGAAGTAACCTGTGTGGTGAATAGTGCTGGTTGTTATTGTTGCTGTTACTGTTGGTTATCTTCATCACCTGTGTCTTCTGTATGTTCACGTGGAATCCAGTCTTCGCTGCCTGCCAGCTAGTGTCTTCAGCCAGTTTGTTGGTTTTCACCTACAAGTTTTCGAGTTTGTGTGAGTGACGTTAAACATAAATTCTTTAGTTTTTTTCCTTAATTTATTCGATATTTTTAATTTTAGTATTATATTTATATGCAAGCAACTTATGAACCATGCATGACCTTTTGATCTTATTGACTCGATGGCATTTAATACATTAGGGATGTCACAAAACAAATTACGTGTATTTAACTGTCGACTCTTAAGAGAAAGAAGTAATCGAAGTAATCACTACTAATCTCAGTCTTATGCCACTTATAATGGGTATCTCTAATCAAGATCACACATTTACCATATATTAAATAGCTTATTGAGAAAGCGTCTT